CTCACTTTGTCTCACTCTGTCTCTCAAAAATAAATAAATATTTATAAAAATAAAAGAAAAATAAATAAATAAATAAATAAAATAAAATGGAAAATTTTAAGTGGAAATTTCCAAAAATGGAAGACCAGAGTGACTTGCCATCAGTAACCATTAACAATAGGCCAAAAGAAATGAAACAACCTTCCTGAATTCTAGCTAGAGTTGTGGGCCAACAATTTCTGAACCCACATCTCTTAAAATGTAATAAAAAGGAGGCTTTAAGCGTTATAGAGGTGTTAAAGACGTTTTAGCTCCAAACTGAGACTTCCTCCTTGAAGTAATCAGCATTAACAGAGAGTTGAAAAGAGAGTCACGATTTTCTCACTGTGTGACTTAATGTTGTTTAATTCAGCACAAGGTACCTCCTTCTCCAGGCTCCAGGTCCCCCACCTGAGAAACACTGATTTAGAGAAGAAAACACAAGCCTAAAGGCTAAAGATCTGAATCTGTGTCCCAGCCAATATCATATGGCTAGTATCTATGTCTGCCATATACTTGCTGTGTGACCTTAGGCAAGTTTCACAGCCTCTCTGGGCTCTAGACTAGATGTGGAATGGCACAGAGAACTCATCTCCTGTGTGGATTCTGATGACTGCCTGCACACCATGCGGGTGGGTCCTGTGAGGGCTCAGTGGAGGAAAGTGACGTCTGCCATGGGCACTGGAAGTGGGAAATTCTGCCAAGGACACTAGGGTCTTTGAGGACCCTGACGAAGATGTTTTCTGAAGTCGCTTCTAGCTCAGAGGACTTGGTGGCTAGTTTCAGTGGGTCTGGAATGAGATGGGATGGCAGGATTCTGAATTTGTAGAGGGGCTTTTAAAGTTATGTTGCTTATTTTCTAAGGACCCCAAAGATTCTGGGAAAGGGGTTACGCCCCCTCACCCGCCCCTCTTCTTTCCTTCACCCTCTTCTTATTCCATAAGGAGATGCTTCCCTGGAATCGTGTTGTTCCCCTGCTTGGAACCCTTCCCTGCCCCCCGCTTTCAGGACACAGTTCCGGCTCCTGAATGGGGCAATGGGGACTTCGTACTCTGGGCCAAGCCCACCTCCGCAGCTGCCTCCCCCCAGGACTCTTCACTGCAGGAGAATGAGTGCCCGTATTTGTAGCCCTCAGGAGAGGCAGCACCTTTGCCCTGCCCTTCCGTGTGCCACACCTAGCTGGCCTAGCTGACCTGCCGCACAAGGTCAGCATCACCTCCTCCCTCAGACACACAGACACACCCGACACAGGTACTCTTCTGGCTTACACCTTACATCTACCATTAATGGAGTCTGTACTATAAAAATTATCTATCTTTCCAATGGGGCTGGCCTGCAGCCCAGAGGCCAGGCTGAATCTCTAGGCCTACCGGACTCTGTTTTAAAAAAATAAATAAATTTAAAAGTGGTTGCCAACATTTAATTATCAGGAGGTTTCACATGAAAATGGAGACCTCTGGAATCTGTAAAATAAAATTTAAAAAAAGGGAGATCCAGTAATAGTGATCCCAGATTGTCACACTGCATTGAGGTGCCAGAGACGAGACGCAGCTTCCCCGTTTAGAGAGGGCTAAGTTTACACAGTTCACCTGAGACTCCACCCAGGCCACTGCGCTCTTTCATGTTACCTTCTGAGGCCCAGCATGCACTGGGTTACACCCCAGGGGCATCTCTCCCGGAGCCCACCACAGGGGAGTGGTCAGTAGGGATTTCTGACATAAATACCCAAACAAGGAAGCAACCACAAAGTGCATCCCAAACAAGACCAGGAGAAAGTGCTCAGCAGTGTGCAGCATCCAGAACCAAGCTGCCTATCCCATGCAGAGCCCCCCAGAGGGGAAGCTCTGTAGCCTCAAGGACTACGATTTATCTCCCAGAAACAGCTGGGGAACTGTCTGTGCTGGCATCTGTCCTGTCTTCTGAAGTCATTCGAGGTCTGCCGCCTGTCTTGAAATGAACCAGTGATGTGGCATCGCGGGAGTCTGTCCGGCCTCGTTTGTGAGTCTTACATGGTTGTGGTGGACGGACTGTATTTCCAAGTCACCCAGCAAGCAAGAGTACCAGGGCCACTCCTCATCAGAGCACACCGTCCCCACCAAACACTAGTCTTGTACGGGGACACGAAGCAAGGACCCCTCACTGACTACCCCACTACAGTTGACCCAAAGCCACCCTGTCAGTTTTTTTCCATTGCATCGTCACCTGTGCTTTGAGGTTTTCTTTTTTTTTTTCCCTTAATAATTTATTGTCACGTTAGCTAACATACTCCTTTGATGTTTTCTTACCACTTTTCCTTAAACCAACTAAAATATTTTTACTTAAATTCATTTAAAAGGGAAATGTTATGTGGGAATGCAAGCTGGTGCAGCCACTCTGGAAAACAGTATGGAGTTTCCTCAAAAAACTAAAAACAGAACTACCCTACGACCCAGCAATTGCGCTACTAGGCATTTATCCAAGGGATACAGGTGTGCTGTTTCGAAGGGACACGTGCACCCCCATGTTTATAGCAGCACGATCAACAATAGCCAAAGTATGGAGAGAGCCCAAATGTCCATCCATGGATGAATGGATAAAGAAGATGTGGTATATATATGCAATGGAGTATTACTCGGCCATCAAAAAAGAATGAAATCTTGCCATTTGCAACTACGT